GTGCTCTTTGGCAAATTGTAACCTCTTCAGCGCGTCTTTTTTTCAACAGTGGGGCTTTGAGGGGGCTTCTTGCAGATAGCTTGGCTTCACATAGGCGTCTTCTAATTGTAACAGTACTAACAGGTCACATTAGACCTTCTTTGATCTTCCTGGAGCTGATTGTTGGCTGAGTCCTTGCCATTTTGGCTATTCTTCTATCCATTCGAATGGTAGTTTTTTCGCTTTCTTCCACGTTTTTTCAGGTTTTGGTTGCCATTTTAAAGAATTTGTGATCATTTTAGCTGAGCAGCCTATCATTTTCTGCATTTCTTTATGTTTTCCCCTCTCCAATCAACTTTTTAATCAAGGTACGCTGTTCTTCTGAACAATGTCTGGAACGACCCATTTTCCTCAGAATTTCAGAGAGAAATGCACTGTAACCAGCATGTACAACATTTGCTGCCTTCCTTCCTTAAATAATGGCAATAATTGGCACCTGTTTTTCAAAGAATGAATGACCTCACTAATAGAACTCCACACTGCTATTATTTTGAACATGCCCCTTTCAATTAGTGATTCAATTACACAGAATCAGCAGCATGCATGTCATGACTGTTGGGTCTGTTGGATTTCTATTACTCTACTACACCTGCTAGTAAATTATTTGCCATGTAGAAATATAATTTCTTCCAAAAACAGTGATTGATCAGGTTAGTGATGTCTGACTGCTATTATTTTGAACACAACTGTGTGTATGTATGTATATATACAGCGGGGCAAAAAAGTATTTAGTCAGCCACCAATTGTGCAAGTTCTCCCACTTAAAAAGATGAGAGAAGCCTGTAATTGGCATCATAGGTAGACCTCAACTATGAGAGACAAAATGAGAAAAAAAATCCAGACAATCACATTGGCTGATTTGGAAAGAATTTATTTGCAAATTATGGTGGAAAATAAGTATTTGGTCACCTACAAACAAGCAAGATTTCTGGCTCTCACAGACCTGTACCATCTTCTTTAAGAGGCCCCTCTGTCCTGCACTCATTACCTGTATCAATGGCACCTGTTTGAACTTTTTATCAGTATAAAAGACACCTGTTCTCAACCAGTCACACTCCAAACTCCACTATGGTGAAGACCAAAGAGCTGTCGAAGGACACCAGAAACAAAATTGTAGACCTGCACCAGGCTGGGAAGACTGAATCTGCTATAGGCAAGCAGCTTGGTGTGAACAAATCAACTGTGGGAGCAATAATTACAAAATGGAAAACATACAAGGCCACTGATAATCTCCCTCGATCTGGGGCTCCACGTAAGATCTCACCCCGTAGGGTCAAAATGATCACAAGAACGGTGAGCAAAAATCCTAGGATCACACGGGGGGACCTAGTGAATGACCTGCAGAGAGCTGGGACCAACGTAACAAAGGCTACCATCAGTAACACACTACGCCGCCAGGGACTCAGATCCTGCAGTGCCAGACGTGTCCCTCTGCTTAAGCCAGTACATGTCCGGGAACGTCTGACGTTTGCTAGAGAGCATTTGGATGATCCAGAAGAGGACTGGGAGTATGTCATATGGTCAGATGAAACCAAAATAGAACTGTTTGGTAGAAAACACAACTCGTCGTGTTTGGAGGAGAGAGAATGCTGAGTTGCATCCAAAGAACACCATACCTACTGTGAAGCATGGGGGTGGCAACATCATGCTTTGGGGCTATTTCTCTGCAAAGGGACCAGGACGACTGATCCATGTACAGGACAGAATGAATGGGGCCATGTATCGTGAGATTTTGAGTGCAAACCTCCTTCCATCAGCAAGGGCATTGAAGATGAAACATGGCTGGGTCTTCCAACATGACAATGATCCCAAACATACCGCTGGCCAACGAAGGAGTGGCTTCGTAAGAAGCATTTCAAGGTCCTGGAGTGGCCTAGCCAGTCTCCAGATCTCAACCCCATAGAAAACCTTTGGAGGGAGTTGAAAGTCCGTGTTGCCCAGCGACAGCCCCAAAACATCACTGCTCTAGAGGAGATCTGCATGGAGGAATGGGCCAACATACCAGCAACAGTGTGTGCCAACCTTGTGAAGACTTACAGGAAACGTTTGACCTCTGTCATTGCCAACAAAGGATATATAACAAAGTATTGAGATGAACTTTTGATATTGACCAAATACTTATTTTCAACCATAATTTGCAAATAAATTCTTTCCAAATCAGCCAATGTGATTGTCTGGATTTTTTTTCTCATTTTGTCTCTCATAGTTGAGGTCTACCTATGATGCCAATTACAGGCCTCTCTCATCTTTATAAGTGGGAGAACTTGCACAATTGGTGGCTGACTAAATACGTTTTTGCTCCACTATATATATATATATATATATATATATATATATATATATATATACACACACACACACACACACTCAATAGGTTTTTCACAACCCCCTTCCTCCCCTTTTTTTGTCTCCAGGTTCACAAATTTTACATACATTACTATAATGAGGGTGGCAGGTCTATATCTTTATCTGGGTCATACTTTTTATCTCCTATATCCCTATAGAAACAAAAAGCGTGAAGGACTTTAAAGGTGCTCATATACTCTCGGGGTGAAAAACTTTGACACACTATATGTATAAAAATATTTTATTACACAAAATAAAATTACACATACACACCCTCCCATAAAGTCAAGTAGGTTTGGTGCATGAGCAGTGGCATATCTCAACACACCGAATAAGTTCTGATGACACACGCCGGAATCGGCGTGGTCTGCCATGAGGGGAGGAGAAACCTTTCTGCCCCTATATAATCCAGTATGGGACATGAGTTTGGACTGATGCTGATCCTTGGAAGAGAGGTAAATGTAGGAAAAGACAGAGGTGGGTGGTGTACTTGTTTGGCAGTGTGGTGACCAATCAAGCTGTAGTAATTTGAACCGGACCTGAGTATATATGCCCTTGTGTCTCTTCATAGAGTTATACTACCTACTTGGACTTGGCTTTTTGTTTCCCCATGAAGGGTGGATTAATGCTTTGGAACATCTGACAGCTATCAAGTTATATACTATCTTGCCAATAATTTGTGGGCCAGTTGTTTCTCTAACTTGAAGGTGTATAATAATTAAGTGTTCTTGCATGGCAAGACCACTTACTGTTATCTCACATATATATTCTTATTCATATAGCCAAATTTACCACCCTAACTCATCCCACAGTTTTTACACTACATAGACAGTAATATACCGAAACCTGCGGATTGTTGCCGATTGGTGTGCCATTACTTTGTGGAACGTTTCGCCGAATGGTTCACAAAATATTGGCGTTTTTGTGGTGAAATTGGTCCCATAGGAATGAATGGCGAAATGTTCAAAACTAGAGTGGGAGCTAACAAAAGCTAGAGTGTGAGCTGAAAAATCAGGACATGATTTCTAAACTGCCATCGCTCCCTCATTTTCAAGCCCACCTACACAAATCTTATATCAAAACGTTCAGCTATCCCTGCTGCCACTAAAAATGTCCACGGCTAAGCCATAATCCTGATAGTTTTCACAATATGACCATTTGTTTGCAACTCATGCTGTCCATTGACCTTTTCACAGTTACTCCAGCCACTCCAACCACACAACAGTTACTCAAGCCACTCCACCCAGTTACTCCGCCCACTCCAGTTGTAGACTACTGGTGGAGGCAAGAACACTTCACACAATTTCCCCAGACATTGTAGCTTTTCTAGTTTTGTTATTAACATTCTGCTGAAGTAATCTGAGAAGGATAGATAATGATTGTATTTACTGGAGTATATTGGAGACAGAAATACTTTTTTTGTGTTAAATCCCTAGGATGATAGCTAAGAACTAGGAATTTCCTTTTCCTTGGGCAGTGTGGTGTGCGGGCCCCTGTGTTTGCCTTGTCCCCGGGGTAATTCATATTATTAGAATTATATAGATTTATGTCAGTCATAACAAAGTTAATTTATATTATCTAAATTTTCATGTGACGTAAAGAACTGGTTTTGGAATATACTGTTCTATGATCCCTTCTGTATTCACAGTGTTTTCCTTTCCTTTGGTCCCCTGAAGCAGTCAACTCGGAGAAACGCGTTGGCACTGACCATCATATCACCACCCCAACCTTTAGGTCAGGGCTCGGTATTGTTAACTAAAGGAAAGTGTGATATGGGATTCACTGTACTGAAGGGTACATTTTCCTACTTGATTTTAAGGGAGGGTATGTATGTGTCATTTTATTATGTGTAATAAAATCTAATAATGTTTATACATATAGTGTGTCAAAGTTTTTTATCCTGAGAGTATATAAGCACCCTTAAAATCCTTCACGCTTTTTGTTTCTATCTGTATATGTTCATACTTCGACGTGGTGCTGATGGATCTGACATACCAATTGTAAATATCTCCTATATCCCACTACCATGGTCTTCAAGCAACCTGTAAGTATACATAGTTTTCAGTTTTTTTTTACATAATGTACAACTGTATTCACTCATCTATGTACAGTATATTTCATCAGATAAGACTGTCCCATTGGAACCATTAGGCAACTCCCCAGCGATTACATATCTATTTTTATTACTACTAGTTTTCATAGGCCCATTGATCCCTTTTATTGCTCATTTCTTATTGCCAAGTTTGTGGTCATCTTGATTACCGTATTTTTTGCTCCATAAGACGCACTTTTTTCCCCCCAAAAAAACGGGGGGAAAATGTCAGTGTGTCTTATGGAGCGAATATGGAGCGGCCGGTCCGTTATTCCCACCGCAGCCGCCGTGTCAAAATACCGGTCCGGCCGCTCGTCTCTTCTCTGCAGCAGAAACCGTTCCTTGGTCCAGCGCTGTACAGGGTTCCGGCGCTGACTTCTTTAGTGTGGGCACTCGACTGTGACAGCCGGGTGCCCACTACGCATGCGCAAGAAGTGCTGCGCTTTGTAAATGGTATGGCGTCTTCCCGGAAGGTCCCAGAAGACTCCAGACCAATCACAAAGCGCAGTGCTTCTCGCGCATGCACAGTGGGCACCCGGCTGCCCACACTAAAGGGTGGACAACTCCGCGGAAGTGGGAGCGGGTACCTGTCAAATTCAGGTACCCGCTCCCCCTCCCTCCCCATAGGTCCACAGTCTCTGGTCATCCCCTGTACTGTCTGCAGTCTCTTGGTCATCTCCTGTACTGTCTGCAGTCTCTTGGTCATCCCCTGTACTGTCCGCAGTCTCTTGGTCATCCCCTGTACTGTCCGCAGTCTCTTGGTCATCCCCTGTACTGTCCGCAGTCTCTTGGTCATCCCCTGTACTGTCCGCAGTCTCTTGGTCATCCCCTGTACTGTCCGCAGTCTCTTGGTCATCCCCTGTACTGTCCGCAGTCTCTTGGTCATCCCCTGTACTGTCCGCAGTCTCTTGGTCATCCCCTGCACTGTCCGCAGTCTGATGGTCATTCCCTGTACTGTCCGCAGTCTCTGGTCATCTCCTGTACTGTCCGCAGTCTATTGGTCATTCCCTGCACTGTCCGCAGTCTCTTGGTCATCTCCTGTACTGTCCGCAGTCTCTCGGTCATCTCCTGTACTGTCCGCAGTCTCTCGGTCATCTCCTGTACTGTCCGCAGTCTCTTGGTCATCCCCTGTACTGTCCGCAGTATTTGGTCATCTCCTGTACTGTCCGCAGTCTCTTGGTCATCTGCTGTACTGTCCGCAGTCTCTTGGTCATCCCCTGTACTGTCCGCAGTCTCTGGTCATCCCCTGTACTGTCCGCAGTCTCCTGGTCATCCATTGTACTGTCCGCAGTCTCTTGGTCATCCCCTGTACTGTCCGCAGTCTCTTGGTCATCCCCTGTACTGTCCGCAGTATTTTGTCATCTCTTGTACTGTGTCCGCAGTCTCTGGTCATCCCCTGTACTGTGTCCGCAGTCTCTGGTCATCCCCTATACTGTGTCCGCAGTCTCTGGACATCCCCTATACTGTGTCCGCAGTCTCTGGTCATCCCCTGTACTGTGTCCGCAGTCTCTGGTCATCCCCTGTACTGTGTCCGCAGTCTCTGGTCATCCCCTGTACTGTGTCCGCAGTCTCTGGTCATCCCCTGTACTGTGTCCGCAGTCTTTGGTCACCCCCCGTACTGTGTCCGCAGCCTCTGGTCATCCCCTGTACTGTGTCCGCAGCCTCTGGTCATCCCCTGTACTGTGTCCGCAGCCTCTGGTCATCCCCTGTACTGTGTCCGCAGCCTCTGGTCATCCCCTGTACTGTGTCCGCAGCCTCTGGTCATCCCCTGTACTGTGTCCGCAGCCTCTGGTCATCCCCTGTACTGTGTCCGCAGCCTCTGGTCATCCCCTGTACTGTGTCCGCAGTCTCTGGTCATCCCCTGTACTGTGTCCGCAGTCTCTGGTCATCCCCTGTACTGTGGCCGCAGTCTCTGGTCATCTCCTGTATTGTGGCCGCAGTCTCTGGTCATCTCCTGTACTATGTCTGCACTCTCTGGTCATTTCCTGTACTATGTCTGCAGTCTCTGGTCATCTCCTGTACTATGTCTGCACTCTCTGGTCATTTCCTGTACTATGTCTGCAGTCTCTGGTCATTTCCTGTACTATGTCTGCAGTCCATTGGTTCAGAATATTTTTTTTCTTGTTTTCCTCCTCTAAAACCTAGGTGCGTCTTATGGTCAGGTGCGTCTTATGGTGCGAAAAATATGGTAATTATTACCATTTTTATTATTACTTTTATTTATGCCTGTGACCTGAGTACTCACCTTTAGTCCTGTATCTGTTCCATCTTCATACATAGAAAGGTGTCCACCTATTTACTGCAATGTATATAACCACATATACAATTATGTATATTCTTGATAGATTCCTAAACATATTAATTAATATTTCTAATATATTTTAGATTTATTTTTCATACCCTTTTACATATCAGCCTTGTGTGTAAATATCACTTTTTTTAAATTTTATCTTTTCCCCCCCAATCTTGTATACAATAGCCATTCCAGTAATGATTTTACATATATAATCATATAAGGGCTTTGTCCCTTTAAAATTCCGATTATGGGCAGCCCGATCCTTTGTTAAATATGTAGCAGTCCCCCTCTGTCCATCAGCTTGACAAAGGAGCACGCCTGTGCCTACGATCCCCAGTGCGCATGCTCAGTTAACACATCCCATCACGATGCCTTGTGACATCATCACGCCGGCGTGCGGTTCATGTGCGCCTTATCGCGGACTTCCGGGTTCCATCTTTCTGCTGGACACAAGCTTAGAATAACCCATTTTGGTGGCCAGCACCTACGGCGGTAACACACTGCTACCCTGGGAAGTCTACCCCCCCATGATGGACTTGATATGCCTTTTATCCACCTTCATCTTGTAAGTGTTTTAACTTTAACTTTTCTGGAGGCAAGAACACTCTCACCTGAACTGTATGTAAGATTAGACCCAGATATTCCAAACCCTATAAGGACTCCAGCGCTGACTTCTCCAGACTGGATGCTCAAACAGATCATCCAGACACCCCAGGATATACACTCCACGAGTTCTCAACGAGCCCAGCACTGGCCCAAAAAGCAAAGCCACAAACTAAATGTTGCTCATCCCTTGCAAACCGTAGAAGTCTTTGATGTGCAGGAAAAATGGGCACATGGAGATATGCATGTCTGATGTCTGCGGCGGATGGACAGATCCCAAAGAGGATTACTTAACTGATTACTTTTCTATCAGTAGCAACCTAAAGTCAGAGGAAACCATTTCAGAAAGGGACTGCACTAGAATCTTCTGGGCTTGAGACACAGATAGACCCAGAGCCTCCTCAGTCTCAGAGTTCTCAGATGCAGAACCCTCTGCCTGACCTTTCTCAATTTCCACCCCAGCTACTTCCTCTTCAATATCTACCCATTGTTCCTCCACTGTCAGAGGGGGACCAGGTGAAGGGGACCTTCCTGCTTTCTGCCACTCTCAGCCATGAAAGCAATCATCCTAGCAATCTTGCCTTCCAGGCCTGTCAATGCCTCAGCCAAGTCATTCTCAGTGACGCTAAGGCTGACTCGCTTGAGGTATGTTCAAAGCCAGACAAACACAGTGGTTTAGATGCACCTGATACTTCTGGGCTATTGGGAGATGGGAAGACAACTAGAGTCCTCTGGACCTAATGGCGGTGCATTTGTGTCCCACCGGCTGTGTGACGATCACGGCGTCAGACCCCAGCCCTTCTCACCAAACTCGTGACCGAAGGACTTGCCAATCTAAAACCGTGATGTCACGTGCTTAACAATGCCACGCCCAGCTGCACCCTGCACAAAGATTTTCCAGCTCACTGGACCACAATTGATGTACCGGCAGCCTAAGCATAATTGTTACTGGGTCAGGTTAATTACGTAATTAACCCTTCACACTGCCACCACCTACTTTTTGTACTGAGAAAGAGGAAACTCGGCAATATCAGCAACAACACTATGATGGTTGAAATAATCGTCTGTATACCACTGTCACCGCAGGCAGGTTATACAGAGGGTTAAACACACACAGTAGCGCTCTTCAGCGGCAGGAATTGGTCATTTGCATTAAAGAGCTTTAGAAACAGTTCAACACATTCAGAAAGTAAGATTTATTACTAAAAGGTCAAAAGGGTGCAATAAAAATATCTCAAGAAAAAGATGTAGCAAATTAAATTATATATATATATATATATATATATATATATATATATATATATATATACACACATACATACATACATACACACACACACACACACACACATACATACACACACACACACACACACACACACACACACAGAGAACAAAGGCACATCAAAGAGATAACAGAAAGGAGTTTAAAGGGTTAAAGTGCTTGCCAGTCAGCCTTGGTTTAAGCAGTTTCAAGTCTTATGAGCCCAAAATGATTTTTCTTGTCTCTCACTGTCAGTTTCGATGTTAAAAAAACAGGGAGACTCTTCTCTTCTCCTTCACAGCTCAACTCAGCCTAGCTTTTCTAGCAAATCCACAGGGTGTCTCCCTGGAGCAGTAAACCAATCATCCCCTTTTGGGAAGGGTGGTGTAGGTGGAGCCCTAAGTTATGACTAGAAACTCTCGTAGCTGCTATTATGATTAATAACTCATTCTCGGGGCATTTGGCAGCCTGGGCACTAGTAAATTAATACTCAGCAGCATCTGCGGAATGGTTAGAGATGAAACATGTCATATAAACTTGAATGGTTCAGGAGATATACTTTCCTGCCCTTCTATATATGCCAGTTGGTAAGGTAATATACCAAACGATTTGTATTAACGTGACCAATCTGACGATATGCCTGGTTTTTATGTAAGCCTCTCATATTCCAAGATATGAAATCATAGGGGAAAATGGATGTTGAATGTGGTGTCTTATTTTATGCCTTCTCTGGAATGTCTTTTTACTCCCGTGAAGGACTTGGTTTATGCTTTTACGATATCTCAGATTGCACAGCGACCAGACAGCTAGGCGCCAGCTCTGTTGGGGTTTTATAGCTCGGAGATCTCCTGCTGTGTCTGGTTTGCCTGTGACCTCTATTATAACCACATGCCACTCAACAGCAAGGGAGGGGGATGATTGGAGGAGAAATCCTGCTCTGGGATGGAGAGAGGTGAGACAACATGGAAAATTCTTAACAAAATGGAGGTCCGCATCCATCTCTGTGGGCACGACTGCTACAGGCTGCACTCCCCCCACTCCACTTTCTGGAAGACATTCCTTTAAGTGTACAGGCTCCACAGAAAGAGCTTTGCTAAATAACTCAAACAGAACAAATGCTGCAATAATTCAGTAATGCAGGCAATATTGTTAAATATGCAACTATGCCAGTTATGCAGGCACCGAATCTTCAGGCCGCCAGCATCCATCCAGAGTACTCATGTGCCCCTAAGCTAGCCTGCTCTGTGTCTCCTCCTTGGCTGCTTCCAGCCTCTCAAAAGGCCAACTGCTGAGCGGCTTCACACATGAGATGGAAACACTGCTATTTCTGGGCCGCGTTGCATGTGTGGGCCACATGCATGCCCACACACATGCACTTAGACCATGCTCTTATGTCATCCGTGTCCCAAAGACGGCCTGAAACTCAGAAAACAATGTAAGAGCTACAGCCACCCCTCTACAGGCCAGAACACAGCAATAAAGCCAGGTCTTAGGCAACAATAAGGTGAGAGAGACCATCCCTATCATCCCCAGTACTCTGCCACAAGAGCTCCTTGGAAGCAGGACACTAAGACAGCCAGAACATCTTACAGGGACCCTGATAAAGAAAAAGTTTACCTTTCAATCCCATTGCAGGACCCTGTCACAAGACAGGGACCAGTCTTCACCCATCAAGGCAGGTTATGTCACAAAGGACCCTCAGGGACACTATCTCCCTTGCTGTGGGGTCCACTGCCCTGGACCTGTACAGCACACTGCCATAAAACACCTTTGTCAGTCCTAAACTGCACAGGCTTTCGTAATGCAGGGTACGGCACCAAAAGGTCACATTACAGGCAATTCCTGCCGATCTTCCATTATGTCCTAGTGCAACCTTGGTACCATCCATTTCAGCATCAAGAATGGATCTGATCATCTAGTCCCTTGATCCCTACTGGAACCATTTTGAGGCTATTGGTAACCTATAGTTGATGCATAACCCAGCTCTGTGTCCCATT